TCATCACAGCTGTGAATAGGCAAGACAGGCATACAGTGTATCACGGATTCACGGTTCTATCGCTTCGTTTCGGACTTTTGTCCACGCTACTTGGCTGTGTGGTGAGAATGAAGTAATCGGTGGAGAACTGCCTATTTACTACTAGTAATCCTGATAATCCTAATAAATAAAAAATACCTGCTGATCATTCTCACACTGTCTAGGGATGAGATGTCGCAAGGGAAACGAGGCAAAGGCGCGAGCTGTGCCGAGTCCGTACAGTCTTCACACTGTCGACTTTGCTCGGCTAACCCCAAGTCATATGGTACCTACCGTGTTTCTCCTCACCCCAGTTCCGAGTTGGGACTTACCTAAGAAGGTACTAAAAACAAATTTCACGTATCATGGCAACGGATATTATCTCTAGGGTATGGGTATCGCTGGCTGACGTCCCGTCTTGTCGATACGGCAACCTCTTTCTTATACACGTACGTATCACTCACTATCGTATCTCAGCCGAAGAATGACCTGATGTTCACTTGGCAGCGAGAAAATGCCCTTCCAAATTCAGTATCCATCCCATATATAGTATAAATCCGACGACAATCTGTAAGGGACTGGGGAAAACAAATGCGGCTTGTTTCGACGCTCTCCGACATGGAGCTTCTCCCTCCCTGGCCTGTCACGTTCCGATCTTCTCTCATGTTAAGAATAATGAAGCCCCTCTTCCACAGAAGTGGGTGTTGCTAAACGGTTGGCTGGTCAGGGGTGGCCCTTTCAGGAATACGACATCGCATCCAAGGTATCAGGGCCCCTTTAGAGACCCCTAAACTTCTGCCAGCTACCTACGCTATCGTCGAACAACACTCCCGGAGGCGCAGACGGCAAATATTGCCACATTGTTATTGGTACTAAAAAAACTCGGCTCGCCCCAAATCTGCCTCTCTTCTAGTATCTATCGCCTATGCATCTCTTGCAGCACTAGCTTTCCCCTCATCTAGTACGACCCGGCCGCCTAGTGTTTGCTGCACTCATTGTCACAATTTTTGCTTGCAGCCTCATCGGCTTCGATGGGTTAGGCCCCTATGTGTTACTGCCTACTGATGCATAACCAACTGTTAGAAGGTTAGAAGGATGAACGAAGTCGTTCCGTAAGTATCTAGAAGCAGGGGAGCCTTTTGTTGTGCCGCAGTGGCAGCCTATTACCCGCGAGATTATGTGTGTCCGTAGTTATTCCTACTCACTTTGAAATTTCAGTTGAGCCAGCAGGAATTGTCGGCTCCTACGGTTGGAGCAAGCCGAATCTCCAACCGTCAGCAGCTAACCCGTGGAGTCCCGGTGTAGCCCCGTGTGCAAGCCTAGGAACATCAGCTTCGGGACTCTCTGGTTGGTCATTGTTATACGGTATAGTTCCTACATATTCGTAGTGAAGGTATGTACATGCCTAACATGGGCATCTATGCAAGCCCATATATAACATTCGTACCCGTAGATAATCTCAGATACCTATGTAGATAATCCCTAAGCATAGGCTGCGGTATGTAAGATTTAATTGGCATATAAAAGTTGGTCTACCCGACGAGATTTCGTCAGCCGCCTTTTTCCGGCCTCCATGCCGCAAGGGAGCCGGGACAGCGGGCCAGCATTCAGCAATAAACCTATCTTACGTGGACAACGGACAACAAACAAGAATCCACACCTCTTCTGACATTCTTTCAGGTACAGAAATTTTCAATTCGGCCTTGCCCCTCTGCCTCACAGCCTTGATAGGATTTGAAACTTCCATGTCCTACATGTACAGTAGAACTTACCAGCCTCTATCTGTACTATGTACTTTAGACCACGTTTTCTACCTAAGCCAGATGAAAAGCCTAAGACGGTGTAAACAGTCCAGATGACGGGGTCGTTGCGGTGGCGAATCCCAGAAGTGGTATGTGGTGTAATAGTTCCACGCCTTGTAAAATCAGAATCGGTCCGTACTTCATTAGTAGGTATTTCGAGGCATTATTATGTCGCCTTCAACATTCATGTCGTCCTAATACACATAACAAACAAAGTAAGACCACATACGAATGGAATCATACTTATTAGAACAAGAGTCATCTATTACATTGGATTATAACGGATTACTTAGGCTTGCTGGCAGCAATCCTCGCCGACAAACACCGACTTACAGACCAGCCAGCTAGGTTCGGACATCTTCGCCTGGATAAATTGGCTTATACCCTCAGCTTTCCCACCGCGGACATATCGCACTTAACCATGATAGGCGAAAGTGCCGGCGGAGAAATCCTGTCTGGTCATCAGTGGTCGTTATCTGACATGGCAGCGCCGCCATCAGCCTTCGTCGATCAGTCCATCCTTCGTGAAGCTCCAGCAAAGGCTTGACCACTTTTTGGATTCATTCCGTCTGATGTTCCTGTTTAAGACCCTGGGCGTAACACCGTCACGTTCACTACCAACTAACAAGCCAACGGAGCAGAGACATCTCCGTTTCTCAAGGCTTCCCGTCCTTATCTGCATGCATCGCTCATGTAGATCTGCTGTACACTTAGGTACCTGGGTAGGCATTACACATGTCCTGCATAAGTCGACCGAACCAACCCTTAAAAGGATTATAGAACCTACATGTGTATGATTCGTCTTACCGTTGTTATCTGTAGGCACTAAAAGATCTTCCAACACGTAAGAAAATATTCAAACCCCCCAATGCAAGTCCTACCCCTCCAAAAACGGTATCGTTATCCCAAAAATATCCCCTCGGTCCGGCTGGGATGCCAGGACGCACAGGTATTTAACCTTCTAAACCGGGCCCTGAACCAACCCTTCCCGGATCGTCACGGCTACGTTTGTAGCTCAGACACGCGTGAGGCAGCATCGATGACTTAGCGCCCAAAGCTGACATGACACCCGTTCCCTTGCAAGTTTCACAGAGTTTTACTATGGGTTATAATAGATCTTAATATTCATTTTGTTCCGTGGCGCTTTTCCTTGAATCATGAAACCATCGTGATTAGACTCTGTCTGGCCCATACGCGATACGCGCGGCATCATTGGTTCAACCAATGTGTATGCAATGACGACTGAACCTACTCTCGACGTCTCATTTCACGTCTTTATTTATAAAACGCCTGTGGCCAGGAACTGAACTAACAAGAGTATAACCTCGGTTCTCCTGGTTTCCGTCCCAGAACGCCTGGCGTCATCCCAGCTCTTAAGGCTCCTAACGCCGCCAAACGACACGCGCATCTAGATCCCACGATTAAACGCGACCATGCCCCCCTCCCCGCCGCGACCGTGGAACTCGTCCTCAAGGCTATCCGCGCTGATCTTCTGGCGCTGCGGGAACGCCGCGAGCGCGAACGGCAGGGCGAGGTAGCTCATGCCGAGGATGAGGCCGAGGTTGATAGGCAGCGTGTAGCGTGGATTCTTCTTGAGCCACTCGGTGCGCTGCAGCCGGACGAGGATGAGCGGCGGCACGACCATGATCGGGCTGCTGTTGAAGACGCGGCTCGCCGCCGTCTCGCTCACGGCTAATGTCGCCGCCTTCTTGCTCTTCCCGAGGCTCGCCACGTCGCTCTCCGCCTTGCCCTCCTTCGCCAGCCGCGCCTTATCCGACTCCGAGAGCACCGGGAACACGTCGATCCCCGTGCGCATCTCCTCGCCGCGCATCAGGAACACGTTGAGCGCGCCCGCGGATGCTACGGCTGCGAAAGGAACGAGGCGGCTGAGGATAAGTCTCGTCGACGGCGAGAATCGCTTCAGGTGGGGGACGAGGGAGTTAAGTCCGACTGCCACGGAGCAGGACGCGCCGACGGCAAGGACGTAGGATTGGGCGATTTTTGAGTAAGAGAGCGGTAGCGATTTGTTCGCGTTCGAATAGTTGATGGCGACGTTTAGCGATTGGTTGGTGACCTGCCAGAGGACAGTGCCTGTTGTCTATTATCGCCAATGATGTGAGTAAGCTATCATCCAAGCTGGTACTAACGGAGCTACAAAATGAGGGTATACCTTTAGACCTGGTGTGAGCATGCCAGCCGTGACGACCAGGTTCGACAGCGCGAAGCAGGACATGCGAAAGGGCAAGAAAACTGGCTCTCCAGTATCTAACCAACCCAATTAGCTCTACTGGCCGAACTTAGGGAATAAGTAAAACTTCTTATGCTATCGTACCGGGATGCAATGTAGAGTCGACAATCTTCTTGGCCTTCCATAGCTCCGGTGTCATATCCCTGATCTCGCCTTGCTTATACTGCACCAACAGCTTTTTGGCTTCCTCGAGGCCATTCTTTCCTACGAGGAGGGTTCTACCGTCGGTGTTTTCACGTTAGAGCTAGACAGCAAAAAATAATAGTAGCACAGCTTCATTACCTCGGATCTGTAATGGCAGCTGTTTGCCTCACTCGGCCCCAGTATGTGCTCAAGTCGTACTGCGACTCGGGAAGCTCCCGATTACCAGGCAAAGAAGCAGACATGATGAATGAGAGGATATATTCGAGTCTTTGGGTTCTTCACTCAGCTACATCAACTGCAATTGTAAGGAATGGACAGCTGGTCCTACCAGCCTGAATTGTAGACTGTCTGGCAGAAATGCAAGCAGAACGCTCCAACGACACGATAGGTCTCTAAGACTCGACTTAAAATAGATTAAAAGTCTTTGTCCCCCACGATAGTCGGTCGCTCTAGGTGGTGAGTACTTGCAGTTGTAGGTCTGCAAACCACCTGCAGGTCTTTGTCCAGAAGGTGACGATCACAGAGAGGGAGAGGTTTTTAGTGGGCCGATCTCGGTCATCACAGATAACAAAACCACGTGGGGTTCTGACCTCGACTCCAGAGAAGGGAAGCAACAGATACCTTGCGTACCTAGGTAGTCCATAATCAATAGAGCAAAAAAAAACCTCGTCACAAAGACCTCGCTACCAAATTGCAAAAAGAGAGTACCTAAATTTAGATTGACCCGAATGGACGGATGAAGGCCAAAATAATAACAAGATCCGATGCATTTCGGAATGCTAAAAAATCGAGCACAGCAGGGATCGAACCTGCAATCTTTAGAGATAGTCTAGTAACCGAAATCTAACGCCTTACCATTAGGCCATGCGCCCTTAACTAGTAAGTTTACTTGATGACATGCTGGTTGTGCAATATCGCATCGAACTACGCCTTATAACCTGCTTGTTTGGTGGACCCAAGCGCATGGCATCATACTGTGCATGCAAAATCTTGGCAGGACAGTTCAGCTCAAACATTTTATATAATTTCGCATACGAGTCATTATGGTTTCCGTAAAGAGCCATGAACGCAGAGTATGCAATGACCGTAGAAAAGGATTCCCTCCGGCTCTTGTTGTTCTACTTTTTAAAAGAAGGTACTTAAAAACCAAGAGGGTTACTCTTAAAGTTGAGTCATTAATCACGATGACCAAGATGACCCCTGAAACGATCTGCCCTTACCATTGTGATCCTGTTATGCAGCATCATACTCATCTTACTGAGTCATCGCTATTAGGTGAACTTGCAGGTGAGCACTACGTTAAAATCGAGGTTCAAACACCTGGGTTCTTAGCCATTCCTATTATTGTCTAACCGCATCAACAAGAGATCGTGGCCATTTCCTGACAGTGTTCGTTCGCCTCTAGACCTGGGAACTATGAGATTTCTACCTCTCACGTAGCGTCCGTCGACTGACTTAGGACCCAGGCATGTGCGCCTACAGTTTCTTCGACTTCTTCCAGTCGTCGAACTTCCTAAGCCACGTCTTCACGGTCTTGATCTGCCATTTGTGAGCCTCTCGGATGAACTGCGGTTCGGCTTCCACGTCTAAGATGCCGTACGAGTCCCAGTGATGCCCGGCCCCCGTGATCAAATACTCCGGGTGCAAGTCGGTCGACACCGTCCGCGGCGGCGCAAAGTTGGAATGGTAGCACAGGTCGTTCCACACGTCCTGGTCCCCGTCGATGAATGCCAGCCTGTCGGCGCTGAAGTTGAACGAGCCGAAGTTATTATACGCGTTTATATCCGGGGTCGGCGGGATTGAATTGCTCTGGCCGGCAGGAAATGCCCAAGTACACCATTGCTGCTCATAGCTGGTATCCACAACTCGAGATAGCAGAGCCGGTCCTTCTTTTGGTGCGTCGATATACGCTCCCTTGAGTGTTCCAAGTTAAACTCATGTTCAAATACCACAAAATGTTCTTGAGGGGTTCTCACCTGCTCTATACAGCTTGTGTAAAGATAGGAACGTGTGCCGCTGTTTGCCGTGCTAGCCCAGGCCGACGCATTCTGAGTTCCCTGTAGCGAAGAGTTTAGTTGTGGGCAGTCAAGAAAGATAACACCAAGAGCTGGACTATCATCACTCACCCAACAATCATTACTATTATAGTCCCCTGAAGGACATAGTGCCAGGACATAACTCTTGATGTAGTTAGCATAACTACCGAGTCCCCTATAAATAATGATGTTAGTAAATAGCTCTAGCTAGGATGAAAAGGGGCAAGAAATAGGACTTGAGCTTTTTAGTTCCATTACAAGCCGAAAGCTCCCAAGCCCAACGTAATAATGAGCTTCAGGGGGGGAATTGATGTGAGAAAATCTTACACCCAAGGTACGCCGTTGGTGTAGTTCGCGAACAAATAGTCCACTTGAGTGATCTCCTCCGGTGCGTCGATATCAGTGACATTCCCACAAAAGTAGAAAAAGTCTCTTGATCCGTAGGTAGAATTCCAGTTCAACTCTTGCCACGTGTTGGAGTGGTAGAATCCAGGGTTTCCGATCGGATCCTAAGCGCCACGTCAGTAAGGCAATGGGAGGGTTTAAGAGCAAAGCTCACCGCAATGGCCGCTGCGAAGTCCCTGTTGTCTGTTAGACTTTCAAGGCCAAAGAGAGTTTTGAATTCTTTCACTGCCGATGTCAGGTTATTGGCAATAAGAAGATCAAAGTTATCGACAATATTATTAATCCTCGTGGTGCAGTCCTGGGGAGCATATTTCTGGATGGTATTGTACCACTCGGCGTAGCCCACAGCCACATTGATTGGAGCCGAGGAAGCGATTCCGGCATAGAGGATATCTCCGTACACCTTGATCGATAAAGCAGTTTGAGCTCCTGCTAGACTACCACCGTACAGTATCCAGGGAGTGTTGGGTGCTGTAAGATCACAGTCAATTCCCGGAAACACCGCATTTTGAGCAAAGTAGGCATTGTCAGCTATCGTTTGGTTTGTGGTGAGAAACAGCAGCTCATCCGTGGTGCTGGTGTTGAAGGGGTAAGATTGCCCATAGTAGCGGTTCTCGAGGATGACACCTTTTAAATTCATCAGTCCTGATCCTATCATTCCTGCTTCTCTTCCCATCTCTTTTCTCTTCGTTCTCCTTTCACCCATCGTGTCTTACCTAGGCCGTTTGTAGCTTCCATCAGAATCTGGATGATCCCGGTCTGCAAGTTGGAAAATCTGCTCGGACCGCTAGTCTCTCCTGAAATGTAGAGGTATACTGGTCCACCTATAGAAAAGTCAACATCATACCTGACACATAGAAGCATGCGACGACTAACCTGGCTTATAATACGTGTCGTCGACGTAATATCGCTGCGTGAAAGTGCCATTGCTCAAGCTAGACTTGGTATATATCTCCGAGTCAGGAAAATGATTGATCTTCTGGTCGAAATAATTGACAGTGTATTGAAGCTGGTCCCGAGGTACGTCCTGTCTTACTTCAATGCCGTGGGAAAGGCCAGCCACAAGGCCAATCGACAACCAACACAGCTTCATGGCGTGAGATGAGACAATGTGGTGTAAGTGCCTAAGACATGGTGCAAGACGCCAAGGTTGGGAGCTGTCCGTTATAAGGCGAATAGCCAGACAGCGGAGAGTGACGCGGTAAGATCAAGCATCATCTCAACAAACTTGCCAAATCAAGGATGTCATTGGAATAAGCATTACGTGCCCAAGACTAATCAAGGAGCTCGCTGAAAACGGTAAAGGTCAGCGCAAACAATGACCTAGTTAGGAAGGTAGCGTGGCGGTAGCTCCTCGATATTGATTAGCTGTGGTGTTCGGCATGTTATTGGGGAGTACAGTAGATAGGAGAAGACGAGCAAGCGGTCAGTTATTCCCGTACCGTACATAAATGTATCGCCTTTTCACCGCATTTAAATCCTTTCTCCGTGAGTAGGCGGGGTAGTGGGCGTAATGCTCCCTGCGAGCCGCAACGTGCCGTTGTCAGCTCAGTTGGGGTCCAAGAGTGACTTCAAATTCTATCGTCAACTTAGGTTTGGGCGTAAGATAATTGCTTCAATGACATATATGTGTCCGTTCGTATATTATGAAGTTTCTGGGCATTTCCCAACCCTTTCTTCTTGAGTAAACGAGAGAGTTGGTAATGACATTCAGTATCGTCGATAACACAATCTCCATTGACTTGGATTCTTAGGCATATAACCTAGAGACAACGACTAACTGATTGTCGGACAATGAGGAACTCTAATATGATGGGTAGGTAGGCATTTATGACGGGGTAGTGAATACAGCAATACAAAAGATAGACCGTGTTACGATGTAAACCCAAGAGATGCAGAAACAACCACACCGTTCCACCTAGCAACTCTCAACCAGACTATCCAGGGGCTCGCGCATAGGTACCTAGGTAAGTAAAGACCCTTTTGCTCGTCTCAGCTTGTAGTATTTTTATTGTTTGGCTAGCTAGGGTTAGTAACGTATACAAATAAACCCATACAAAGAACAGTCACAAGGTATATCGTTTCTTATGTTACTATATTATGTGGTAGTGGAAGTGATTTTACGTTGCATACCTACCTGATACTTTCATAAGAGGCAGGGATCAGGCTCCCTAAAGCGCATTACGGATCGTTTATAAGCATATATGACTTATGACTTGATAGATCCGCGGATCTAGTTTTGTCTTGAACGCTTGTAGGCTATGTAAGTTATCTAATGTGGGCTTTCGAATTTTTTTATCAACAAAAGTGGTGGTAGAATATGGGGCCATTTTGAAAAATGCCTTACCAGCTTACCTACCTCTATTACCCACTGCCTTGACTCTCTCATAGAGTGGGCTCTTCTCAGTAACGTCACAGGCGCCATTGCCGTGATGTAGATGCCGAGTAATTCCCATATCCGCATAGGTCGATCGTCTCATTACTCATTACGATAGCGCCGACACCCCTTGCACGCCGCCCCGCCATCTCAGACTATAGCCCGGCCCCCAAGCATTGCCAGCTCGAAGACGAAGTAAAGACGAAGTCAAGACTTCATATACAAGTTATCTCAGCGTTATCTCAGCTCTAAACTGTACAACTCAACGTAACTTGAAGTTCGAAGTTAACATAGTAGCTTGGTAGATGTAACGTCTCTTCGACAAAGCCGAAATTGATCTTGGAGTTGCAAAGCCTCGTGAACTAAATATATCGTCAGGCATGGCACGGGAGGTGACGAATGCCATATAGCCTATAGCCTATCTGGCTATGTAGCTGTGTAGCTGTCGGGTTACCAACTTGGTTATCCCGCTTTTCGCTGCCGACCTGCTGAACGGGTTTATCTTTTTTTTCTGGGGACGACGATTCGTACTTGATCCTTCGTAAGACTAAGCAGTGGGGTCGATGAGTACCGGTATCTCACCCTACACCCCCTGAAATCTATCATCGGTACTAGGCAGCTAGATAACCAGTAGAGAAGAGAAGTCAATGTACGGCACGGTATTATTATTGCATGGCATGGTAAGGTTCCGGCCTACACCCACGAGGTTCAGCCCTACCGAGAATGTGAACAATGGTACACTATCTGTGGGTAATCTGCACCCACAGGGGTTGGTCCGGGACTTCTGCTTCTGAAGCGCGTGGCATCGACGGTACAGCCCTTCTTCTGGCTGCGCTGCCCGGTTTCTTGTGATAATGCAGCATCGCGGCGGTCCATCATTGGCGATGGCCTTGTTGACCGCGACCTTCCTACTATTCTGGTACGAACGAGAAATCATCCCATGTCTCCTAGCGTGCAAGCGCTATACCCTTGGCAGCTCACGTAGAGGATCCGACTATGCGGCACGGCACTTCGACTAATGTCATGTCTACTACTCCTACGAGGCAGATTGGCT